ACATCGCATTAAACATAATGCATATTTAAGATTCCTTTAATGTATGGCTTGCCACTAAAAGTGCACTTCCTGTTCTGTGCACAGCCGATTGCACATAAGACTCACATTTTTCTATGACGGGTGGAAGTACAATAAGCCTAAATTTGGCCGAGGAAAAAAACTAGCAATGGTGATTTATATTCCTTAATTCCATATCATGAGCCCGTGTCACTGATAATGCATTTCTGCTAAGCAGGTATCTGCTGAGCGCCAGAGGCAGCATCATCGCTCGTGCAAATCTAATCAATGGTCATTAACTTACCCAGGGTTTTATTAATTTACGGAAGACAATGTAGATATAAATGGAAGTCTTAAATGACAGGTGAGCTCCAATAGGCTGGATGAGCGGCGGCACTGCGGCAATACCACAAGCAGCATTATACTTTGCGGAATATATATTTATTAATCTTGGAAATCTCGCCGTTCTATTTTTTATTCCAAAAATTCCGGTACAAGTGCTTTGAAGAAAAAAATAACAAAGGAAAAGATTTAATGAAATATGACAGCGAAAAAGAAAACTCAACCTGCATTTCCATCTGAATTTTCAGATCAGTGTTCGATTAGAAAGCAGAGTAGTAATTACATACGGTATTGCGATTGTAGATGCTGCAACGGACGATACGACGGGCAAAACCATGCACACGCCGTGCACGCTAACGGAGGTTTGAATAGAAACACCTTGTGAAAATTAAACTGTGATTTTAGTTTTGGGTTTTTTTTCTTTTGGTAACATGTGGGAGGCTTGCGAGGCTAACTAGAAATGTTGTCCTTGCCGTGACGCTGTGCGTGCTGTGGGTCACGCTCCCCATTACCCCTTCTGCTCCACCCTTCTTATCGGCCATTCTGTTGCTTTATGAATGAACACAAAAGGACCTTGAGGTTGAAAAGTCTGGCTATTCTGAGATTAGCCTCTATATATATATTTTAAAAAATACCGTTATAAGGAATCGTTTCGAGCGTCTGACGTGTTGAAGGTAGCTTGAGAAAACCCAACGAAAACAAAAAAACTCCGCGCAAGAATGACACAATAGATTTGATAAACAAAAATTACCCTGTTTCTTCGCTGCTGCTGCTGCTGCTACTCAGGCTGGTTTCAGATACGAATGCATGCTTGGGTGCTCTCTGCTCTGCCGTACAAACCGCCGCGGTGTCTAAATTCACTTAGTGCATGGGAGGGCCGTGTAAAATTAGCGGTGTACAAGCAGGTTTGTGTTGGTAAAAAAACACCCACCGTACACTCTGGCCATGCCGACCCAAAACCCTTCAAGGTACGCAGCACATTAAGATGCTGTAACAGAATGCCATGCGCGCACGTGTGTGTTTGTGTGCTTATTTTTGGCAGGGCTAGTCTACTGGCTAAGAAAGCTTCCCATCAGAAAACCCATCACCTCCATGGCTCTTTAGATTGGCTGCCACTGCGCCCAGCTGGGTCTTTGAGCTTGGCCCACACGGCTAATTGTTCCGTGTCAGAATATTAAATGAAAATGATGCAATATGACAAAATACATTCTTGCCCGTGCATGAAAACAATCGACATTAGCCGCAGCTATTTATATAAATTCTCGCAGGGTTAAATAAAACTAAATACAAATAATTAAATTTCAAGTAATGGCGTGTGGAGTGTGAACTTACCTTGTTATTTTGTAATTACTAGTAACTTTGACTTATCTTCAGGTTTCTCCTCCATATAGCCCTGAATACCCGAGATTAACATTGATGGTTTTCAGTTACAAACCCGTTTACCCTGCTGCTGTAATTTCTCATCATTCGCAATGTGCACACAGATTCACATGTACACAACACTAAATAAATAATGAGCACCGCGCACAAAATATTACAGGCACACGATAAAAGAGTCACACAACCGACACAACATCGGCACTATTTCCCAATGCTATGTTGTCACGGTGGAATTCAAATAACATTGGTGCCCCACTTAAATATGAAACAGCTCTGAATGGGAATATAACTATGTTTGTACATTATTGCCAGTGTTCTCGAAGACATCAGCATCATGGCTACCTGATTAAAGTGTTGCTTATAATGGACCACTGTTTTAAGGTGAAGGCCGACAGATGAAGCTACAACCACTTATTTCTCTCCGGCGGATATTCGAGGTGAAAGGGTTAATTCGGGCATTATTACGTTCGCACACGTTTAGGCGTAGCTAAGCTCTACGAGTGTGACGTGATATTGAAAAGTAAGCGTTACACGCAGAAGTGGCGATAACACTTTTCTCAGCTAAAATGCATAAAAATTGGTTACTCGCAAGGCCACAGACACGATCTTTGGAAGGGCACTTTTGATTAACATTTTTTTTAAACCCCACTGGCTTCCCACACATGGGTATGCGTGCGCAAGGATCCTCGACACAAGCTAGCCAAGAGCTCATTCAGAGTGCACAGCCGAACGCTTTTTGAAGATAGCTCAGGGCGCATTGGAAACAGTCGGCAGTTAACATGAGCAAATTTAGACAATTTGTAGGGAGAACATTGGGGGGTTGGGAGAGAAGGAGGGAACTTACATTATTATTATTAAAGAAAAAAAGTGATTTCACATTCACTGTAAAGTTAAATGGCAGCAGCGAGTTTCAAACAAAAGGGCTCTGATAAATCGAATCAGACACCACTTTGAGTAATAATTCAGGAAGTATTGTGCCGCTGGGGTTGGAGATGTCTCAAGAATGCGACGCACGCTCCACAAGGTTACACGCCTGTCGACCTTACAAACGATGAAGTTGAAAACGACCAAGAGGGTGCAATGTAGAGTAAATTGTTTACAGTTTCCAAGGGAAATATGGATTCACAACGGCAGATTGACAAATGGCAAAAAGGACCCAAAAATGAACATGATGACTGCTGCCGAGCCGCCAATGCTTCAAACACGCCACTGAATTGTACCAGAACTTTGTGAGTGCACAAGCGTACGTATCAAAGACCGACCCGTACCGGTGGGGAACAAATATAACTGAAAACTAGAAATCAAAAACCTCTGCCAATGAGAACATTAATGTTTTCAAGCAAAATTACAGCGAGGCCTATGACCAAAGCATCCTGAATGCGCCCGACCTCAGCGGATCTCAGACGCTCAACAGCGTTGCAAATGGACAGCGTTTGGATGCACCGACCACAAAGCAAAAAGCAGGTTGCTATAGCTATGTTGTGGGAAACAGAGGCCAGTGCAGAAAAATCCATTGTTGTACTGCACACCTATGGTCCCATATAAATGCTCCCTGCCTTCACCAAGCCGTGCTTACCAGTGTGATGAAGTATGGTCAAGGAAACCCCTCCACAACCCAAAAGGCGTAGGAAGGCCCTCACCCAGCACTGGATTGATTGCACATGTAAAGGAAGGCCCCAATGTACACTTGTACTTATCACGCTCGGATGTGTCAGTGATAAACAAGTTGAACATCTTGTATTTTAACGCGTGGTTACCCAGTCACATCAGCTCTAGGGCGTTACCTAGCTCACTGAACAGCAATTATAAGTCAATTAACATTAAATGCAATGTGTCTCCGAGAACGTACATTCACAGTGCACGTGATAACATTTTATTTAATTAAAAAAACGAGCACAAACTGGTTGACACGGTGGTGATACAGTTTGTATCGGCGTAAATCTTTTTTTTTTTCCACGAGTAGAGTCAAGGTCATTGTGCCTCTCTCTGCTCCAAGGACCAACGAGGCAACAGTTTACTCCATTGTCAGCCCTGAGCCAATGACGCAAATTCCACATGTCCATGGCAGGGCACAGTGCCGGTTCGATATTCGCGGCGCAACAGCTGATACTAAATCTAGATTTTTTTTTTATATTACCAGTTAAGGCTCGCCGAGCTATTACATCTCCTTTACTGGTAGTAACCTCCTGGTTACACCAGCCCATAGGGGATTATTTTGTCCGTCCGTCGTGCAGGGAGGAAATGGGTGGGGAGGGAGGGGCTGGGTGCGGAGGGTGGGCCTTGGTGGGGAGGGGAGGGTGGGGAGGGTGGGGAGGGGCTGAGTGGGGAGGGTGGGGCTGGGTGGGAGGGGAGGGGCTGCACACCCCCGTAGTGCCCTTATCAACGTTTAACCTACTCACGCCGGCTTGTGCACGCCCTCACAGTCGGGCATATTTGCAGAATTCACCAAGCCGTCGTTGACCGAGCAACCCAACGTTACTACCAGCTCCCTCCGCTGGAATGTGTTTCAGAAGCAACCCGGCCAAAAAATGGTCACTCAACGAAGTGGCCCATCACGTGGAAATGCATGGCATCCAAAAACTCTTAAGAGCGTGTTGATTCTAAATGTGGAGGGAATAACCGGAGGACCCGGAGAAAAATCCACACGGCCACAGGGAGAACACGCACACTCCAAATATAGAGGCGTCGGGGTGAGGATCGAACCCCCGACCCGTATACCAGGCGAGGTAGTTAACATCTCGCCACCATGATACAATGGCATGGTGTCTTCAATCCCCCCACCCCCCCCCGCCTCTGTTCACCCAGCAGTATAAATGGGTCACAACGCAGTGAGACAATCGGCAGGTCGTGAGTGGCGGGGTAAAGTGCGGGTACTCCCATCTCCTCCAAGATGTCTGGCCGGCGTGGAAGAGTAGGCCAAATACTCTGTAAGAGAGGCTCGCTGGAGTGCCCTCTCGCGGAGGTCCTTCTGCTAGCGGTGGAGCGAGCAAGCAATTGCAGCGCTGCACCTTTGAGCTATTGCCACTGTTGACGTCCGACAACGTAGCGCTCATTTCACGGATTCCGGACGAACCATTGGCAGAATCGACCGTCGACCAGGATTTGAACTCGTAACCATCCGACTTTGAGCCACGCGTTCCGGCCGCAGCACCATCTGCTGGCTCAACGGCCAACGAGGCAGCGTGGAGTCAAAAGTAAAATCGGGGGTCACAAAGGTCGGTTGAAATCAGAGGCGAGCTTAACGCAATCCGTAATAACAATAATCGGTTTTCAAAACGTACCCGTCGAGGCGAACGTCTGGAAGAGACCTGTTCAGCGCGATCTTGTTGCTGACCAGCAGGTTAAACTGATTGATTTTGAACAAGTCCCGCATGTGCTCCTCCTCCACCTTGGGGATGTGCACAGCCTTGCCCATCTCCCCAGGGCCCTCTCGGGGACGGGAGATCGCGCCTGCGCACACGTGCAGAGCACAAGCAACACACACGACACACACGTGGATTACGGACAGATCACAACCCCAGCGCCAAGACGCACGGGCAAATACACAGAGTACGGGACGGACAGCGCAGCAGTCGATTTTTGCGGCAGACTTTTTTTTTTATTGTTCTTGCAGTTCCCACTATCTTCCTGCACCATAACGCTAACTCTTGCACGCCGATAGGAAGCAGGTGGAGTCAGCAAATGTGGGAGAGAGAGAATGTAATTACTCTTGACTCATAGCACTATAATTGTTCGAAGAACACGAACCAATAGTTTATGCTTTCTTTTCATGTCCGCACTCTTCCCAAAATTGTTTTTCAAACGAAATAATATATTCCATAAACGGCTACAATTATTAAAGGCTACATGCAAAGACGGTAGGTTAGTTTTTTTACGTTGTAACCACACCGGTATCGCTACACATTGAACAGGTCATTCGTACTCTTAGTTTTTTCGGTAAAGTCACGTAGGTACAGCAAATCTGGCTGTGACGGTCCCACCTGATGACGGAGACTTGTGTTGCCTCCGAAACGTCGTGATTTTTATTATTTTATTTCTATTATTACTTTTATTAATTTTAATTTCATTTTTTACCTACGTGACTTGACCGAAAAAACTATGAATCCTTGCAGTCACGAAAGCTTCAAATCTAGAATAAGGTTATTCGTATTGTGAAACCCATCTTGGAAACACGGACACCCGCACTTCCAAACACACGAACAGAGCGATGCACAACGCAACATTGATAATAATGCCGTTCTTCTGGTGATATGCAACATGTCACACTCAATATCTCGTCGGCTTCAAATGCTCCATATATACTTGACAGACCCACCGAGATGTCACATTTATGTTTCAGGGGACGTCATCCCTCTCCGACGAGAGCAGAGTTGAAAAGAAAAAAAAAAATCTCATTCCCATTCAATTGTTGTTACAATCGTTATAATTGAGTAAATTTGAATCGTGGCACCAATGAGCCTATGGCTGCCACGTGGAGGACGGTCGAGTTGATGTGCCCTCTGTAACAACCACTGTGCACACCCCCACAGCACACGAGCCATCACGGTGCAGTGTCAGGTTACACTTAACCAAGGCTTATCTGAAAATGGTGTCATTAATGGTTCCACTGGTCTTTGAAGTGCACTATTCAACCCTTAATACATTATTACAATTACAAGTAAGGCACATGCTCCAGGATATCCGTGCCACATGGATGGTCTAATTACGAGTCAATGTTTCTCATTAAAGGGAAAGTCTTCAATTAGTTGGAGGGGAATTCAAATCCAGTAATTTTATAACGGCCGCGCATGTGTGTGTGTGTGGAGCGGTAGTGTAGCGGTTTGTGCGCTGCGCTACGAACCTGGTGACCCAAGTTCGATCCCTGCTCACGGCCAACACCAGCGACAATTATCTGAACCGGTTCTGGGCTTCCCCTAGGTCGACTCAGCCGCAAATGAGTCCCTGGTGGCGGTGTAAAAACATCGCCACTGGGGAGACAAAGGCGGTCGGACGTGGTGCTGGCCACCTACCCCCTCGTGTGCTGTGCCGGCCTTCATAGGTGCTACTCGCTAACAGCACTTGCCCCAACGGTGTGTTAAGGCTCTACGGGGGCTCTTTGTCTTGTTTGCCTTTGTTAAAGACTCAGCGGCAAGGGGTTTGTCGTAAGCGCATTCTGCAATGTACTTGGAGAGTCTCTGAAGCCGGCGTGCCGAAAGGAGCTTCCCACGTTCCCGTTTAAAATTATTTAAGAGAATAAAGGACATTCCGTAAGCTCTTTTAAAATATTAATAAAATGGTAATGGCAAGCCAACCTACTAAAAAATGATTTCTCCCTCATGCATAATAAAGCTGTCCATTCAAGTGCTAATCATATTCTTTAGAACACCCGACGCACACAGCGCATACATTTTACAAGAAACTTTCCTTTTTATTTAAAAACACTACATTTGGCACCAAAGCAGCGGTTTCTTTATATACATTCGAATTGCAAATAAAGCGAGAGCATTAAGGTAGCACACGTCAGAGGACAACATGTGTGAGAGAAGAACAATGTGAAAGGCATAGCAGCTCCCTGCTATTTAATGAGAAATGTTATATTTCAAGGTAGAGTAATTCAAATTACATGTCACATGATGTGTGAGCACAATATTACACATTTTCAATAGGTACACGCTACATTTTTTTCTTTCTCTGTGATAATGAAATACACAACATCAATTTTGTAGCCACTACAACGTAGCCTAAGGGGGATTTGTGCTCACTCAGAGCAGGGAGTCACCAATTTCAACTTGAAGCACGGGGCTGTACATCAAGCAAAGCATCAAAAAGCATTGGTCACAATCAAAAAGAGACGTGCACACATCATAGCAATGTGCCTGGAGATATTAAACATGTGCAATGTTCGCCAGAACAAAAACATTAGATAATAATAATGTTCAAGTATACAAAGAAACGCACACATCGGTTAATTTAATCTTGAGCACAGGATGCTGAAAGTCCGTGCAAACGAACTTCCCATTAAAATTTTTTGTTTAGAGAATAACAAAAATGTAAGCTCTTTTGAAATATTCATAAAAGGGTAATTCCAGACCAGCCTAAATATTATGAAAGGATTGCATCATACATAGTTTTGTATTAAAATTGCGAGCATCTATACTTGTCTCAAACACTTACGCATATTCTCGAGGACATGAAATGCATAAGAGGTGAAAGCGTTTTTTTGTTGGTATAGCAACCCTGTACTTTCACAATAAGCTGTCCAATCTTTTTCCATCCTGCCACTGTTTATCGCTCCTGTGGTGCCCAGCTTACCGGTTACCGCCGCCAAATTTGGCTGTTAAAAATCGATCACAAAAACCGGTACCAGCAAAGTGTAGTGCAGAGTGCTTGCACAGGTTGCACGCACTGTGAGCGTAAATGGTGTGTGCTATCAGCAACCCTGGTTATGACCGTGAAATAGAACCAAGACCTATATTACATGCGCACGCACACAACCCTAACATTCTCGCGCGCGCGCGCACGCACACACACACACAAACACTGTAAACGCTCACAAACCAAAGGAAAAATGTTTCAGGGCATTATTTGTTTGTTATTTGTTTTCAGGGCATTATTTGTTTGCTACGTTATTCTCTTGAAATTAGCTGACGTCAAAAGGAGAAAGTGGGGAAGTGGCCTGCCTTCAGCACTGCACTAAAAAGGCCGGTGATTGAATTCAAGTTTACAATGCGACACAAATGTCTCCCTTCACTGCAAATCAAATATCTGACCTGTGTTTTATTTATTCTTGGGTTTTTTTCGGTAAAGTCACGTAAGTAAAATGTTTTAAATTTAATTAATAAAAGTAAAATAAAATAAAAAAGCACGACGTTTCGGAGGCAACACAAACGTGGTGATTTTTATTTTATTTTAATTTTACTTTTATTAATTAATTTTTTTTTACCTACGTGACTTTACCGAAAAAACATAAGAATATGAATCCTTGCAGTCACGAAAGCTTCAAATCTAGAATGTGTTTTATTTAATTGTGATCATACACAAATGCCAATGCAAGCACTGAATATATTTATATTTTCAAATCATAATAATACAGCCTTTTGTCAAACCTCCTCATGCTGTATCAGTCATGGAGGTTATTTGACCATATTTCAGGACGTTGTTCAGTGCCAGTTAGTGAACAAGGGAAGGGGGGGGGGGTGACTCGTTCAGATACCACTGATATTAATACAAATGTATTTAATACAAATTAAAATAAAATACGGTACATAACCAGGTGGAGTGGTGGTGCGGTGGTTCGGGCACTGCCCTCTGAATTCAGAAGAATATATCAGTGGGGAGTGATATCTGTGGTGAGTGATATTTTAATCAGTCCTAGCCTCCCCCACCCCCTTTTCGCCAATCCGCCATGACCAGAATGGTGAAGTATGGGCGAAACAACCCCTACGCCTGATGCAGTGTGGGGGAGGCCTTCACTCTATAGTGGATTGAGAAAGGAGTTGTAAATTACTATGACAGCACGTATAGGAATAGACGCTCCTTGACCAATTTCGGTTAAAAATGTCCCCATAATCCCTTTCAATTTTCAGGTGATTAAAAGTAAGAAAAGTCAATTTCAATGTAGTATAAGCCGGTTATGAATATATGACCGTGCAATCCCCCCCCTCCCATCCTCATCGTAAGCTATCCGTGTTTATTAATCTATAATTGAACTACTGCTACATATAGATTCCTTCGGAGCTTTGTTAAAATAAAAAATAAAATATAGGAGCCAGGTTTTGCAAGAAGGATGATTCAAGAAAGCGCCTCGCAACCAACACACGCACAACATGGCAATGAAGACAGCATGTTGTGCATTACGGCTGCCACTACCCAGGAGGACTCGATGCATTTGACGTGATTCAGGGTCACAGTTTCGCGAAGGCTGGTTGTCCCGTTCATTTGTACAGTTTTTGTTTGCTCCAGTTAGCCTAAATATAACATCAGCATATCATTTGCATTAATTGAAAATAACCGAGTATCACACTGCACAATTCGAGGCATGTATCATAAACATTGGTGTGGAAATATTTTTTTTTGCCGAAATGATACATCTTTACAGGACTGCACCCTTTCGGAGCATGTCCACAATTGAGACGGCTGGGGTAATGCATTCATGAAATTTAAACAATTTAGCAGATTGGGCCCAATACCAATCCGTCAGAGCAGGATTAAAATTAATATGTGCTGCTCCGCTGGCTGAGCTACGTACGTTCTGTATCCATCAGTGTCCCAATTCTCCTGTTTGTTGGTGGGCCCGAACCAGAAAATTCCACGCTGCTGCTGCTGCTGTAATGGGGATTAGTCGCTCCCATAGGACAATCATTGTTAAATTCACAGGAGATTTTGCTCACCTGGTGATGATGCTCAATTTAACCGAACCCTGTGAAGTATTCAGATGAGCTTGTATGTATACATTTTGAACTTATTTCGCA